TGAAGTGGTTTATTTTTCAAAAGAATAAAGAATTCATTTCGTAACACCTTTCTTAACAAGATCAGTTTTTTTGGTATTCAGTAAATGAGACATTTGTTTCACAGTCTTTGGATACTATTCATTTATATTATTTGGGGTGTTGGAGAAGTCATTATGTATTTTTCCTTTTTTCAAGCAAAAATGTGTCATGACTTTTCCGACACCCCAATATCTAGCGATTACATCAGCTGATAACACCGTATGTGACTCAGAAGTATAGGCTCACACCTCTTCAGGTGTCTATGTCCACACCACACCTCCTGTCACCTAGGCTCCAACAGTCACCACTTTAGTCCCCGGGGCCCCTCCACAACCTGCTCTCCACTCTCCCCACTCATCCCTGGCAGCCTCAGTGTTACAGCCCAACTTCTAGTGTTTGTTTAGGTTTGGTTTTGACTGAAGTTTTCTTGTGGAATGCTATAAAGTAGAGGAAGTTCTCCGATGTTCAAAAATAGCAGGGATCACATCATTGTTAACAACAGTGTCAATCACAGTAACTAATGATGCTTTGCTAAGTGCCAAGCACTGTGCTATGTATGCGTCTACTTGCAAGATCCCATTTCATGTTTATATGCTCGGAGTGAGGTGCTAGCCCCATCTTCCAGATAAAGCACCTAGAACTTAAAAAAAAAAAAAATCCCTTGTCCAATGTCATACAACTGGTAATGGAACCTGCACTCAAGCACCTCTCACTCCCAAGCCATGTATCATAAAATTAGGGTTTTAAGACTTAAATAGACCTTAGTGACTTCTTACTCCAATCTTTCATTTCATATTCAACTGATTTTGACTGCAGTGGCTCATACACTTGATTAGGGAAAAAATGCTTATGAAAGTGAGTTTTGTGTTTTATGAGGATGCATTTGTCTGCAAGTCTATCAAGGTGACAAACTGCAGCCCCCAGAGAGATGTGATTTTTTCAGGCTCACATGCTAGCCAGTGGCAAAGATTAAGAACCACTTTGCTTTCTACCAAATCATGCCGACTCTAGGTATACCCCTAAATTCTCTACCTTCTTCTCAATTCTCACATAGGCACTAAGAGACCACAGGCAAGATTTCCTAGTAGGTAACCGGCTGAGCTGGGCTGATATACAGCTCCTTGAAGTCATCCTAATGGCTGAAGAGTGTGAACCCAGTGTCCTCTCAGGCTTTCCTCTGCTACAGGTAATGCCCTCCACATCGCTCCTAGGAACTTCAGGGAGAATGAATTTCTATCATTTGTTTATTTGGTTATTCACTCATTATTTGGGAAGATGTTAACTTCTGTATGTCAAGACCTACCCTAGAGGTACAAAGATGCCCTTAAAAAACACACCTAGTAGGAGAGACAAGCACATAGACAACCTCAATAAAACGTGTAAATTGTAAAGTTAAAATATGGGAAAGCATAGGAGTGTTACCTGGGCCAGCCTGGGGATCTGAAGACTCTTGCAGGAGTTAAGTCTCAGAGGCTTTGCCTGGAATGCAGCAGGATCCCAATAAAAGTGGTCTAGGTAAGTTGAAGGGAAAGAAAACACTTAAGAGTTAGATCTCATCCTAGCATAGCCATTATGTAACACCTACTTTACCATCTCTACACTCTTATTATATACTAAGAACTGCATAAACAGCCCTTCATTTATTACCTCCTCAAAGCAGATAGAAAAGGAGACACAGAACTGTTAAATGACTTTTCTGAGGTTGCACGATCAGTAGGAGTAAGGACTGGGACTAATGTCCAGGCCTGAATTGCTAAACACCACTATGTTGGTGGATTCCTTTTTACTTTTTTAAAAATATGCTTATTTAAAGTCATTGTGACTTGAATTGTGATAATTTTGTGGCCTCAATTTTTCTACTTCAAATTACGCTGTAAGTATGTTTGGTATTGTTATTTAATTTGCCTCACTTTTATACAAATGTAATCTATTTGGGAGGTTTTTTTGAAAATTGAGATATAATGGACATCAAGCATTACATTAGCTCCAGGTGTAGAACCTATTTGATATTTGTATAATTTGTGACGTGACCACCATCATGTCTAATAAACATCTGTCATCAGTTATAATTCTTTTACTTGTGAAAAAAAATTGTAAGGTATACTCTGAGTCCTTTCAAATATACAATACAGTATTATAGTCACTATGTTGTACATCCTCAGGACTTATTTTATAAATGGAAGCTTGTACATTCTCAGATAAGAAGTAACAAGTAGTGGAGAAAAAGATTATTATTTTTTCTCCCCATTTTTCCCAATCTCCATTCTCTTCTCTGGCAACCACCTGACTATTCTGAGGGTAAGGTAAGGGGTATTTTCAATTCCACACATAAGTGAGATCATATGGTATTTGTTTTCTGTCTTAGTTCACTTAGCATAATGCCCTCAAAGCTTTTTTCTTTATGGCTCGAAAAATAATTCTATCGTGTATTTATATTTTCTTTATCCATTGATTCATTGATTGGCATTTAGGCTACTCCCATATCTTGGCTATTATACATAATGCTGTGATGGACATAGGGGTGCATGCATCTTCTCAAGTTAGTGTTTTCATTTCCTTTATATAAACACCCCGAATAAGAATTGCTAAATCAGATACTGGATCATTTTTTGAAGAATCTCAGTACTATTTTCCATAGTGATCAGTTTGTATTTCCCCAAGCAGCAAACAAAGGTTCTTTTTTCTCTATACCCTTACTGATATTTGTTATTTGTCTTTTTGATAGCAGCCCTTGTATCAGGTGTGAGGCAATATCTTATGGTGGCTTTCATTTATTTCCCTGATGACTAGTGATACTGAGCACCTATTCATGAACATCTTATTTAGAAAAGTTCTGTGTTATTTTAATATTTTTCCACAATGAAGTAACTACTTGTGATCATAATAACCTTAAGTAAAAATCATAAACAACCTTAAAATTCAATATCTAAGAAATCTCTATAGAATTGTGGATACATCCATTGGATAGAGTTTCATGCAAACATTTAGGTATGTTTTCAAATACTACATAATATGAAAAAATGCTTTTAAGAAAACTTCTTTTCATAAGTTATATGCTGGAATGTTGCAATAGCATCTTCATGGGTCTGAATTTTTCCACCTTTAAGATTATGTTACTAGAATATAATCTTAAAAAAATAGGTTTGCTTATTCCCATTCAATGTTCATTTTTTATTTTTGAAAAATATTATTGAAGTAGCAACACTTGCTTGCCACCAGCAATGGGGAATATAAATTTTAAGCTTTTTATCAGATGTAAAAATGTGCCTCATTTATATTTTCTGTATTTTTTTTCTCATGGATACCATACTTCTTGCGTTTTAGGAATTCAAGGCTAGAATCAGTAACATTCCTGCAATTAACAAGTTTCTCCAGGCTGGCAGCCAGAGGAAGCCTCCACTGGATGAAGATTCCATTAAGAATGTGAAGAATATATTCAAATTTGATCATGGCATGTTTCTTAAAAACATGGGCACCATAGTAGCTGAGTACTAATAAATGGAGAGTTCCCAAAAACACAATAAATGTTTCATAGACATTTATAGAGGTACCCAGAAAAATAAAAGTAACAAAAGACAAAGGGAGATAAACTATCAAACAAATGTCTGCAAATCAGAAAACTGTCTTTTGTTTCCCATAAGACAGGAAGATACTCATTTATCAGAATTATCTAAATAAGAATTCTGTGTTCTACTTACTGCAAAAGAGTAAAATCTTAAGAAAGCAATGGAGGCTAAGAATTTCTTATAAGAAAAACAAAACACATACAAACACCACCCACTTCCACCACCTTTCGGGATATATAGCAGAGCTTCAAACTAGCTTCTGAAACTCAATCACTAGAGTATTTTACAGATATAGTGTTTATTTCTATGATCTACTTCATAATTAATTTCTATTTCCATATCATAACCATAGTTTAAGTCACCGAATATGAATGTCTGAAGGCTCTTGATCACTGTTAACAGTCAGCAGGCATGTAGCACACCCCGAGGGACTGCTTTCTCCAGTCTGTGTGTGGTAACACACCTCTTTGGCACCATTAGGACTAGTGGGATTTTTTTTTTTAAGTAAGGTATTTTTGAAGTATAGCTAAGTATTTTTGCCTGGGTTTCCTATTTGGTTAAACTATTTGGTTTCTGTTTTTCCCTTTCTTCCTTTAATTGAATAACTTATTACTGGAAGTTTAACAACCTCTTTGAAAGTCCATTGGGAAAGGGAACTGAACACAGCACATTAACTCTGCTGTTATCAGCAGGGAGCTCTACACCCCCCAGTTCATTAAAACAAAACAAAAAAAGGTTTGATGGGGCCCTCCCTGATGGCACAGCAAGTTAAAGCACAGCACTAAGAAGCTAAAGCCAGTTCAGCATGAATTCGATCCCCACCTGCCCCAGACATGACCCATATGCGTGCAAACCTCTCCTGACCCCCTCACTGCTCCCCTTAGCAACGTACTTCATCAATTGGCATGTTCTGCTCCCCACTCTGTCTCTGGTGAATCCTCTCACCACCTCTGCACCTCTGGCCTATACCCCAGTTCTGTATGCATAAATAACTAAATTTTTTGTAAAAAGGGTTTGAAGTCAGATATCACTGTACAGAGCTAATAGGACCAAAGCTGCAGAATTTTAGAGTTCTAAGGGGTCTTGTCAATCAGTTAGTCCAAATTGCTTCTTAAGGGTGAGAAACTGTGTCCCAGTGATCTTCCAAAAAGCACACAACCAGTTCATGGAGAAATGGGCTGGGGCTCAGGCCCTTGATGTTCAGTCTTGAATAGTAAAAATAATAACTATGAGTGAATGAAGCGGTGATTTGAGACAGTTGTTTTTGTTTCAGAATGAGAGAGTATCAGTATTTGAGGGAGAGTCTGAACTTAAATAACCCTTCTCAGTCACCCTAATCTTGTTCACTAATATCTGGATATGCAGACATCAAAGATGACTTAAGTATATAGAAAAAACACTAAAATGAAAAAAAATGAGCTTAAAGCGGAAGGCCTTTTATTTGAATACTGAATACGTTCTGTTATTATACAGGATGTGCCAAGAATGAAATTTTTTTCCCAAGGAAAAAAGCAGTGCTCCCATCAATACAAATAAAACAGAAAGCCAGAATTTCTAGTATTAACAAAAATGACAAATAGCTCATTAGCATTCTGCATTTTGTGAAGTTCACTTACAAATAGATAACGTATCCCATTATCTAATACGTTGTAGTTTAATCTAAACCTCAATTGCAAATTTAGATGTCAAAATAATCACATATAAAAGCTGGACACAGAAAATGAAAGAATGTATCGCGATCCAGATCTTAACAATGAACAGTACCTGACAATTAGAAAACAGTAAAAGTTTTTGTTAAAAAAAAACAAACACACACCTCAAACTAGCATCATATTAAAGGTGACAGTGTTTCTTTTGTCTCTCACATAAAACAAACACCCATAAGCCATACTGAAATTCATCTTCTAAACCCCGAGGATGCTCTGCGCCTTACAGTAGAATGATGTGCACTCAGCCTTCGGTGTCTCTGGATTCTCAGAGCAGCAGCAGGACAAGTCTCAGGATCATCATGAGGCTGGGTCAGAACAGGGCAGAGACAGGGTCAATTGCGTATGTTGTAGAAGAGAGATGAGAAGTCCCCTTGCCTGCAATTTGCAACTCTGGCTCTGGTCTCTCCCACTTCATGGGGCAATGGTGTTCTCCTTTTGCCTGGATTTCAACTTCCTAGACATGACTGAGTTAGTCACTTAAAAATGACCAGTGAGAGCCCTCCCTGGTGGCGCAACGGGTTAGGACACAGCACTGCAATCATCTCAGTGTGAGTTCGATCCCTGGCCCCGGAGGTATCCCCATGGCGTGGCAGACCTCTCCTGGACCACTGCTCCCCTCAGCCCACCTTTCTATCTCCCTATTCTCCCCACTCTTTCTCTGGTGAAGCCTCTCACCACCCCTGCACCTCTGGCCTGTATCCCAGTTCTGCATGAATAAATAAATAAATCTTAAAAAAAAATGACCAATGAATAAATCAATAATGCTAACCTCCCTGTTCTGAAAATCTGCTAAGAGGTTTTATGAGAGAAAGGTTTTTCAAAATCCAGTAAAGGAAACTACTTGGAAAAAAAAAATCAATGAACAATTTTGGGGGATGGAGGTGATTATTATTATTTCAGTTACCTTCCATTGGTTGGGGTCTTGTCTTCCTAACCCTTGAACCCTATTTATGAATTTTTTTCTACCACCAAGTATCATTTTCAGAACAGGGCTGTAACTGGAAAGCAGTCCTTTATAATAATACTTATTTTTCCAACCTAAATCACAAACATAATACATAGTCATACTAGAAATTTCTACAGTAAAGCACAAAGCACTACCACCCAGAGAAATACTACTAACATGTTGAAGTGTTTTGTTTCTATCTTGTTGCTGTTTTTTACACGCATTTTTTAAAGTTGAGATCATACTTTATTTGATTTTCAATCCTGTTTTTTATCCTTTATTATATCATTGAGGTTTTCCAATGCTACAAAGCAGTTTTTGAAAATATGACCTATTCTGCTTTTTAAATTATTCCGTCTACAAAACCACTTCCTTACTGGCAAACTTTAGGTTGTTTCCAATTATTCAATTTATTGTGTTTTCCACTAGAAATAAGTTATAATAAACACCATTCTACATGTACATCTCATTATTTCTTTGGAATAAACACTAAAAAGACATAACAATGAAAATAAACATGTCTATGACTTTGAACATTGAAAGATAGCTTCCAGAAGAACTAATAATGTTACCTATAAGTTTTTACTTGGTAGCATGCTTAGTCTTGTTGATAAAATTACTCAAATTAAATTAAGAGAACTTGACACCCTCTCTATCTTTCAAAAATATATTGTAGCAGACCTGTCAGTCTACCCAGCTCCCTAAGTGTAACTGAGTATCAGATTGTCTCAGTTGGGTAAATCTTGAGAAAAACAAGTCTGAATTTGGTTCTTTATTTTGAAAAAGCTATGTGTGTACATGCAACCTGAGACTGTGGCAACAAAGAGCTTTTTGATTAAAATGATCACAGGCACATCAATACTACGACTGACAGAATGCATAACATTTTAAGGTTTTCATAGTCATGCTTGGTGGACTTTTGTCAAAAATCAGCATTTTAAATGGTGGCAGAGGAAGATTAGGTCAAGATAGTTTTTCTTACCTTAAACCAGCAACCAGTCCAGCAGGCATTATTTTCTTAGATCTCTTAAACCTCACACCCATAATGGTGGCCAGGAAGAAAGCTGTAACTGAAAATCAAACCAATGCTTGAGCCAGAGCTTCAAACAAGCTCCCTATTAATGCTTGCTTGTGAAAAATGGCTCTCACTTTTGATTTCTAAGGTAACATTATATACAGGTACTGAGTTTCTGTTTTCTTGAAAACAAACAAAAAACCTAAGTGCTTTATTAAAACACTAATGAGAAGGTTTCTAAGTAAATCGGCATGTTAAAATCCATTCCTGAAATATCTTCAAAAGAAAAAATTTTTTCTAATTTAAATTTCTCTTTGTAGGACACTCCTTGCAGGCTAGGACTGCCTCTTGCCAGCTTCCCCAGGAGCACTAAGCAATGTACTTGAACACACAGGAGACAACAAATGTCTAGGTCACCAAATATAAGAAAGATAATCAGTATCATTTTTTTTTAAAAAAAGTAGACTGATTAATAAAATAATATTATTTTATTTTAATTTTGTAGCATTTGGGAAACTTGATGCCTGGGGAGACAAAATAACAATCTAGGTAAAATTATATTCAGAAACATTATACCAGTCTTTCAGGAGCTGGACTGATATGAAATAGATTTTTTTTTCCTTTTCCATTTGTCTTTTTTTCAAATTAATAAAATAGTTTAATTTTTTAATTAATATAATAGTTAGTTTTTACATCATTTTGTGCCTTTTTCCATCTCAGTTGTAATCCCCATGGGCTTCCCATCACCAAATCACCTGTGTGCCAGAGAGATGGTTTTATGTAAAAGATTAGGGCATGGATGTCACAATTTAAGAAGACATTATGAAAAACCATTTGCTGATATAAAAAACAATGTGACTGATAATAAACAAGTGAATTATTTAAATACAAAGGAGCAAATCACCTCACATTCCTATATCTTACTGACATAAATATATATATAATATATAGCTTTATCTTTTGACAATTTCATTATTTAAAATATCCCTACTTCTTATTTACATTAAGAACAACAACAACAAAAACCCCACCGAATCTATTGCTTTCCCTCAAATACATAACTGACACTATTTGTTTTCATTTGCATTTTCTTCCATACTTTACCAGGCCACTTTGAATAATAATCAAGAGACAATTTCCTTGGCCTAGTTTTTTCACCTTCACTGTATTTCCCTCTCAACTCAGGAAAGTCAAGTGTCTTGGAGCTTTAAACACACACATTTCCACTTTTTTGTGGGCATTCTCCTACTAAGCCCACGATGGGAAAATGTTAGAAAAGGGTTGCCCTTGCTTTTGTAGATTAAATCATAAGCAAAGTAGGAGCTAAAGCTGTCTGTAAAATAAATGAAATGATGCAGAGAGCCAAAAAATCTGTGCATAATTCCTTTTTCTAATTATGTTTTATTTTCTAGTAACAGTTCTATAGAAGTACCCTTCTGATTTAGAAGGCTGGTATAGTACCATTATTTTCTAGGAGTCCTGTCTAGAAAGGAGCAAGAATTGTATTTAGCCTGGAACACACATATACCATTTGCAATCTGTCCATAGGTTTTCACCTATATTACTTCACAAAGGGTATTAAGTTATCCTTAGAGTTTGCTTCTCCATAATTAGGAAAAATACCTCACTTACACAGTGACAGCTTTACATCTCGCTTGTCATTAGAGACACGGTAAGCTCCATAGCCAGCCAAGAATCCAACAAAAAGACCAGCTATCAACGATGGAACACCACCTGGAAAAGAAAAGTATGGGCTCAGAAAAAGAATCCCTAAGTGAAAGGAATTCCTCCCACTACTTCCAGATTGATATGTGCACCTTCCAATGCATTTCCAGCTGGGCACTGTGACTGGACACAGTCTAGTGGAGGACTGACGTACTGGTGGACAGATCCTGAGAAATGACTACAGATCCTGAAAAATGACTGCGTGCACTGGACAGAGGGGTCCATGCCAGTGACAGTATGAATAAGATGCACAGTCATCACCTTGTAGAAGGCACTCTCTCTAGAACTGATTCAACTGGAATCCCCAGGGTAGGATTAAGGCATTTTGCTTTTAAATATTTATAGGAAATGCAGATTACTGTGAGGGCTAGAAGCATTACAGCAACATGTGCACATCCCCCCCCACCCCCACATCCACACATGCACCCAGAGCAGCACCCGCGGGAGAAATAAGGCACACTTTTCTCACTTCTTGTCCCAAAGACTTCAGCTAAATTTCTTAGCCTTTTAGTTTTATCAGTTGCAACACTGGGTGAATAATTTCATCTGTGCCAAGTATAAAGACTTAGGTTGTTACAGTTGGAGTTAATATTAAATTCCTCCTTGCTCTCCCAAATCTATTCTCCATGCACACTAAAAAGACCTTTAAAAAGACATATATCTGGATAGGTCAGTCCCTAAGTAAGAAACTTTAGGGCTCCCCATGCATTTAGGAAAAAACCCAAATATGTTCTGTCTTTGGAGCTCTGGCGTTCTTTCAATCCCTGGCTATGCCATTTTTTTATTTTCACAGTTTTCAGACATGCTGTTCCATGTCTGCACTGCTCCTCCGGCACTGTTCCCCTGGCTGACTGCAGCTCACCTTCAACTGACTTGATGTGTCAGTCCTCAAAGATGCCACCTCCAACCACCATTCAGAACAAGGACCCAGTATAGTTCCCATCACCCGCCACCACCTATTTCTATGCCGTTGGTGTGTTCAGTGTCTTTGTCCCCCACTCACTTGTGAGTCATTTTTGCTCACCAAAAAAAACTTCAAAATCACAGCATCTTCCTGGTTCTACACTACTTTGGAGATCCCTGTGAGAACAGGGTGGACCCAAAGAGGCTCGGCTTGATGACACATTCGTTGTCCTGGATTCTGCCACCTTGCTATCCCTTCCTCTGCCCCTGCAAAGAAAGTCTCCTTGGCCCTTCACTTTGACCTGATTTTTAGCTAATCTGCCGTAGGATCTGGATATTTCTGCCTCATCAAACACCACTGTGAACATCACATCATTGATCTACAAAACACTATTCTCAGTAACTGTTCCTACAAGGGTCTCTGCTCCCTAGTGCATGGGACTTATGCCTATGGAAGCCCTAAGTGAAAACAGAAAGAAATGGCTCACTTTAAGCAAAAGCACTAAGACAGTGGGGCCACAGCAGTTTAAAATATAACAGAGAACACAAAACTATAAAAGGTCCTTGGCTCCAAGATCTGTGTGTAAAGATCCTCCCACTGGCAGGGCAGCAGCCGCAGCAGCAGCAGAAATAAGGGTATTAAACCTTTACTCTGCGCCAAGCACTATGTAAAGTATGTTCCATGCATTATCTTAGTTAACCCTAAAAGATGAATTTACAAAAGAGGAATTGAAGCCCACTAGTTAAAAACAACTCACAAGACTATCTGAGTCAGTAAGCAGAAGTGTCAAGAATACAGTTTAGGAAGGGTGAATCCTGGGGCCCAAGCTCTTAACCCACATTATACTACAAGAGTGGGTTTCTTTGTAACACATAATTCCTCCAGGGGCTTCCAAGATCATTTAAGTGAGGGGCTAAGGGAACCACATTGTGCAGCTGGGCAACCTGCCCTGAAATCAGAGACCTTAAAGGTGACCTGACTTCATTCATTCCTGATGGAACTTTATTTCAATAATAAAGTAATCCTCTCCTGTCCTCCTCTGGGACTCTCAGTCACCCCAACAACAACACAAACATTCACTTACATACTCCCTTCTTCCCATCCTCTAAAAGGCAGGGAGAAAAGGTCCAAATGTTCTTTTCTGTTCTATAATAGAGGTTATTTAGATTCATCTTTGACAATGAAAAATGTTCTATTATTAATCCTGTGAGTATAGCATACACAGTCCCTTTCAAGTTAGACAACAGTGGGACGTATGATTGCCCTGGGACAACAGGTATACATGCTGAGGTATAAGTAGGAACACCTGGTGCCATTGACTGAAGTGCTTTGTGCCTCAGGGACTGATCAGCTGAACAACTTTTTCTTTTTTTATGATTTATTTATTTATGCATACAAAACTGGGGTACAGGCCAGAGGTGCAGGAGCAGTAAGAGGATTTACCAGAGGCAGAGCAGGGAGCAGAACAGGCAGATCTACAAAGTATACTGCTGAGGGGAGCAGTGGGTGAGACAGGAGAGGTCTGCTACCCCATGTGAGTCACCTTCCTGGCCAGGAATCGAACTCATTGAAGTGGCTGCTGCAAGCTTCATAGTGCTGTGATATAACCTGCTGCACTACCAGGGCAGGCCCCAGCTGAACAACTTTTAATAAGACTGGAGCCATGGGCGGGGGGTTGGAGTATCGACAGACTCAGTCTCCCTAAAGCATTCAGTTTGACCCACCCTTTTCCCTGTCAATAAAAAGGCCAGGATCTTGCTCCCAGAAGCATCCTGCATCCTCCAGCCTGCTTTTCTTTATCACTGCGGCGTTGCTTACGCAACACAACCTATCAGGACTTTAAAACTGAGTTCTCTTAGAGCAGATCATGGAACATCAACATTTGAGTAGCTGTTTATAGGTTTTTCCTCATCACACATGTATTCATGATAGTACACATATTGAGAGAGAAAATAAACAAAAATCTCAGGTGAATTAGAGCCTCTCAGATATCTTAGGAGACAAACTATTCTAACCTGACAATCCCCTTGCTCGCTGGCCCCAGTAGATAGCTGTGCTTCTGACCTTGGAATTCTTAGCAATTTTGAAAGAAGAAAGTAACTCTGATAAGCAGTTAGACTTGTTTTTTTCACTTAAACTCAAGGCTATGCTATATCATGAATATGACACTCTTTGAGATAGAACTGCATTTTAAAAATTTCAGAAAAATTGGCCCTCTCTGGTGGGGCAGCGGGTTAAAGCACTGCACTGAGAAGCTAACGCCACTTCCGCATGAGTTCGATTCCCGCCTGCCCCGTAGGTGACCACATGGCGTGGCAGACCTCTCCTGGCCCGCCCGCTGCTCCCCTCAGCAGTG